TCCACGCCAACCAAGTCGACCCTACCCTGCACGCCATAGTATGCCATCCACCGCTCCCAACCAAGCCCCGCCACATCGGGTGCAGCACCACCTCCACCACGCTAGGCCACACCTCCGCCGGTTCCAGGCTGCACCGCCGCCTCCTAGCCCCGAAGCCACTTGAGCTGCCTGCCACCACCGTCGGGAACCCCGATAAACCGCGCGCTCACACACGAACGACCACCCCGCGCCGCTGCCGACTAATGTAAGGGAGGGAGAAGAGAGCCCCGCCGCCGCCAACGCGACTCGGGCTTTGCCCGGCGGACGCGCTCCAGTGGTGGTAAGAACCGGGGGGTGACGAAGATGGGAGGACCAGCGGCGGCCGAGCTAGTACATCCTTGATGCACGCGCGGTGCGTCGCAGGAGCGAGTTTTTTTCTGTGGTTCTTTTTTTTTTGTTGTCCACCTTTTTTAGGGAAATATGTCAATGTAGTCACACACGTACGGTGAGCGGATATGCAACTGCAGGTGCGTGCGTTCGTGGACATAAAATACTACTTTGGAACCAGCGGGCATGCAACAACAATTGCATGTGGCCGGACCGACGTGCCTCTATAGTTGGGCACGACACATGAAAAGTACTCCCTCTGTTCTTAAATATAAGTCTTTATAGAGATTCCACTATAAACCACATACGGATGTATATAGATGCATTTTAAGTATAGATTCGTTCATTTTGCTCCGTATGTAGTCCACCTAGTGGAATCTCTACAAAGACTTATATTTAAGAACGGAGGGAGTATATAAAAAGGAAATCCGAACAGAAAAAAAGTCAAATGGAAAATAAGGGGGTGGGGGGGGGGGAATCTACATGACCTCCCCAATAAAATCAGACTATTGATGAGCTAACGTAAGATTTAGTTTAATTCTTATCTACTCCCTTTGTTCCATATTAGTTGCCGCTGATTTAGTACAGTTTGTACTAAATGAAGGACAACTATATGGAATGGAGGGAGGAGATGAGTGTTAGGAAAATCTTTAATAATATACTTGAAGACAGAGATAGTACCTTTTGTGTTCTAGATGTTTCCTTATACTGGCAACCAGCACTTGCACATCAGCAAAGGCGTGGGCCGGAGGTGCCTTGATTTGGGAGAGCATGCTGGTGAGAAGCCTCCTTATATCCGGCTGGCGAGACATCCGTATAAAAGCCCGACAGTGGAATTTTCCTCCAAACTTACGATATAAAGTCCTGGCAACTGTAGTCTTTCCAGCACCTGCAAACCCAAATATAGATACTACCTTGAGTTGTTTCTGTTTCTGGTCATCGAACGCCAGGAGGTTGAGGAGATCGTCCATGTATTCAGCAGCTGGCACAGACAGTTTGAGGGTCAGCTCGGACCTCCTGAAACCGGCAACCGGCACTGGCGATTTGATAGACAATGTGGATGAACTTGCAATATCTGGAGTGGCACTGGCTTGTCCACATTGATGCTCGACATTTTCTTTGTCAATATTCCATTCGAGGAATCGTCCACGTCTTTCACGAGCATCCGCCACACGAGCCACTAATGTTGAGAAATCAATTGCAATCTGAGGCCGTCTTTTCAGCAGTTTGCAAATCCAACGCACACTACTGCCATTATTGGACTGCATTATAAGCTTGTCAAAGTAATTCTCTGTATCGTAACAAACTTCGCGCACCTCCTTCATCCAGTACTTGGCCGTGAAGCTAGTGTCATTGGCTTCTAACAGATCCATGAGGGAGATGCATAATTTCTCGAGCTCTTTCTTGAGACTCTGGATATCACCTTCATTAATGCCCACTGGCAGACTTTCTTTGGTAGCCTTAAATGAATGGAGTTTCTGGAACAGGGGTCCTATGGGGCCAAGCGAAGCAGAAACTGGAAGCTCCATCGCTGCCTGAAGCCATTCTGAGCACCGGTCCTCCATCTCTGCCTGAAGCCAAGCGCCAGTACATTGGAAACAACAATCAGTGTCCAGACTAAAACAAGCACAAGTGAATATCTCGAGCTACATAGATAGCATGGTATGGGCAAATCTCCTATATACTACAAGTGTACATTTTCTGAGTTCTAACAGAACAATTACAGATAGATTTTTTTAAAGAAGTATCATGTACATGTGCACAGCACACATCCACATACCACAAATACACGCACTCATAGAACACATATGTAAGACAAGAGCGGGGAAACTTCACAATTACGGATATAACTCACTCCAACTTCATCACTACGGAAGACACATTTCTAAAGAGTGGTTTGTTCAGTCCTACTAAATTTGCGGTACGTAGTGACGATGCTCTATTCATTACAAGAAAATTTCCATGTTGCTTGCTCTATTCACTAAAATATTTTAGTGCCACAGTTCAAAAAGACCTATGTGTCATCCCCTGTCTAGGGATAACCAATAGCCCATGCAATGCCACTCTCTTAATTTGTAACCTCTGCACGATTGATTTGGGCAAAAGCATATCATCAAAATATCCAGATTGAATTCATTCAAATAACTTCAGTGCTGGAATGTTAGTATCCGGTATCCACTCAGATATCCGTCAGCATGATCTAGAGAAATTCGACGAGGAGATTACAAGGCTGGAATGATCGGAACATTATATGAGGATGATATTTTGTCTATGTTGCTTTTGTAAACTAGGTATAACTTGATCTTTTGAACTGGCTATATTGAACTAATTCATTTTTTATTCCTATTTTCTCATTTGTGTGTTCAGATGTGGGCTTTATTTCAAATGGACTGCTCAAAAAGATATATGGTGGCATTTCAAGCTTTCTGGCTTAAGTCAGAACAAAGAGCTTCCATCTCTGATCACATATCCATGATCATAATTCCAACAAACGAGAAGATGGACTGGAAAAATTTGAATATGGAGTGGTCTGATGCTAATATTAGACGACAATGATGTGATTCTAATCTTCTCCTTCCTATAGGGGGGTCTTTCCAATGCCAAGGTATTATTCTTTCAAACTAACTATATTTAGAGTGAACCAACATAATAGTTCATGAAAATAGATAGAATTTTTCGAAACAAAATATACATGCCAGAAATATAAAATTTGTTACAAAGGGGCAAACATGCAAGAAGAAAAATAATAAGAGACGCCACCTAGAAAGCACTCCACACATCACAGAGTAATTAGTTAGAGCATATCGCAGTGACTTTGGCATTCCATATAAATTCACATCTAGGAAAGGCACAACTTGTAGACAGAGGGCAAGTCATATGCTATATTTTTCTTTTGTGCAAAAAATTGCCATAGTTTTATTGTGCCTATAAGGAAATAATTTAGTAACGATGGGCTGAATGTGTTCATCTTCACATGAAAAGCCGCATAGTGTTCTCTTTTGTTATCTAAAAAAAATACATGCTACATTTTCTCTCAGTTCCATGCTACATGTGGACAGTAAATAACAGTTGTCAGAAGCGTGAACAATATATATACCTCGCAACTTTCGATACTGTTAATTTCATTCAGCTCGTTGACAATATCCGCTATAGCAGGTCTTTTCATTTGGTCGTCCTCCAAACATCTTAACGCTATTTCTATGCATGCCCTAACTTGCCATGACGTATCACACGGTGTCATTGCCGCCAGCTGTTTCTCCCAGTTTAGACGAACCTGCATTCGAAATTGAAATATAAAACAATAGTACTCCCTCCGTAAACTAATGTAAGAGCGTTTAGATCACTAAAGTAGTGATCTAAACGCTCTTACATTAGTTTACGGAGGGAGTATTTGTGAAGCTTGACAGCTCGTAATGATATAGGAATCTGTTTCTCTTACGAGATCAAAAAATTCTTGAGAAGGCATGTCTGGACGATGAGAATAGCCAATGAACCTTGACATCAGTTGTATTATTATAAGACCCAAACTGAATATGTCAAATTTCGATGTAGTTTGTCCTTTGTCGATATATTCTAGTGGCTTCCTGCATGATACCAAATAGAAGATTTTCATAAATGTTACAAAAAAAATTAATCATTTCTCATGAAGTACGAACTTGCCATGTTCGTTCTATTGCTTGGGCTGTTACATAGGACTGTGCTGAAGGGAAGAGTCTTGATAAACCAAAATCTCCTATTTTGGGCATCATGTTCTTGTCCAGCAATATGTTGCTAGGTTTTAGATTCAGATGGAGAATACGATCTTCGGTTCCATTATGAAGGTAATTCAAACCTTCACATATCCCCTTAATGATTTTGAAACATGTGGGCCAATCAAGTGCGCACGACTCGTCTGTACAATTACACACGCAAGTGTATTTAAATTAGATGTAAACTGAGGGTAACTAAAGAAAGACATAGTTTAAGGAACTAATTTTCTTTACATGCAAAATAATATTAATATATAAGACGTAATACTGTTATACCAAGAATATACTTGTCCAGGCTTCCGCCCTGTAAGTATTCGAAGCAGAGAAATCTTTCTTCCACTACTGCAGAAGTATATTCATCATCGTGCTTAACCCGTTTTTTTCCAAGATTACAACAGTAGCCAACCAACCCAACAATATTTTGATGCTGGGCTCTCACAAGGTTATTTAACTCATTCCTGAACTGTGTGTCGTCAAGCTCTGGCGTATGATATAACTTCTTCAGAGTAATCTCTTCCCCACTGTTCAGTACTCCCTGTTGAAATTTACATGGGTTCTTGTAGTTATAGTATATTCTCAAATTAATTAACTCATACATATAACTGAGAATAAAACTATACCTTGTAAACTACCCCATGCTCACCCCGACCAATTATGTGGTCCTCTGAAAAGTTATCTGTAATCTGTTCCAGGTATTGGAGGGTAAATTCCCTTGGTGTCAAACTCGTATGTTGTAACCTGCTCGCCATGGTATCATATATCTCCCAGAAGTGTTTAGCTTCGACGTCACATATCCTTAGTAAATGGAAACATGAACTTTTGATAAGAGCGGCCATATAAATATGCTGTATGCATAACTTGTAAAACAAATCAAAGGAACTAATTAATTATTACTTACATGTTCTTACGATTGATCACTTGTTTAAACAGTAGGACCGTCATTTGTCAGCACTTTTCTTAATGCACGGACATACGCATACATTAAGTTATTCGCTGATCTAAATTATTATAACGAAATTCGCTTCAACATACATTTACCTGAATGACTATGGTTATAGCTCTTCTTTTGGATTATGCATTATCACTTCTTTGTACTATTACTACTTGTTTTCACTCCCTTATTTTTATATCAACATGTCATTTTTTATTTTGTCTGC